CGCATCGGTGACCAGCACACTTGCGCCGCAGGTATGCTCCAACCCCAACCCCCCATACCCCTCCCCCATCCCAAAAAGTTTCTCTGCGGATTTGGGTTGTCCTCAGCAAGCGCAGTAAGGCTGCGCAATCAGGAAAAAAAAAAAAGTAGCTGATGCCTCTTTTCTGACTGGTCGGCGGACCGCCGACCGATCGACCCTGATCGGTCGGGACAAAACAGTCGGCGGTCGGGGTCGGCGGTCGGCACCGATGCAACCTTGCCGTCATCCCCAAAAACGATCTGACCTCAGTAAGAGTCCGAGGTCTGGGCCAGTCACGTATGCTGGCCACCTTGGCATCATCCGGCCTCAGTCCATCTGCTGAGATTTCATGACCCAAGTACAAGATCTTGGTGCGACCAAACTCGCATTTCTCCAAGTTAACCTTGTACTGGTGCTGTCTTAGGAGACCTAGCACTATTTTCAAGTGCTCAGCGTGCTCCTCTACTGTCCTACGAAAGATAAGAATATCGTCGAGGTACACGACGATAAACTTGTCGAAGTAGTCATGAAAAATCATGTTCATCGCGTGCTGGAACGTACCAGGTGCATTGCATAGGCCAATGGGCATCACCACAACTTCGTACAGACCGTACATGGTCTGAAATGCGGTTTTGTGTTGGTCCTCAGGTCTAATGGCAATTTGATGGTATCTGGACTTCAAATCTATCTTGGTGAAGTACCGGCATCCCTGCACTCTATCCAAGAGGTCGTCGATGCGGGGTAGGGGCTCCGCGTTCTTAACGGTGATGGCATTGAGGCCCCTATAGTCAATGCACATCTTCAAGGTACCTCGCTTCTTCGGTACGAATAGGACTGGAGCGCCGTAAGGGGAGGTACTAGGCCGAATCCATCCCTTCTCTGTGAGCTCCTTGAGCTGGCGGCGGAGATCATCTAACTTCGCAGGAGACATCCTATAAATTCGTCCTCTAGGCACCTTACTACCTGGGACAACCTCTATTGCATGGACAACCTCCCTTTCTACCACGCCTGTGGGCTCCTAAAAAAGGTTTGAATACTGAGCGACGACTGATTCTATCTCTGGGATGTTTTTACGGCCTCCCCTTTCTGAGAGACAAATACTAGATACATGCCCTCCTTGCGATTCTGCTTATAATAGTTATAAAAATATGATGCACACATGCACCCGTAGTTTTCTATCAAACTGCTAGCTTTAACAGATCTACCGTTGGGCAATTTGTGAATTAACACCTTTCTATCCCAGTCAAATTGCGGTTGCGCGACCTCGAGGTAGTACATACCTAGGAGCATGTCAAAGGGCAGTTCGTCGCTAACCAGGAAGGAGATTTTATGGCTCACTTCCCCTCCTCCATAGGAGAAGGTACAGACTACGTCCTTGACATAGTCTTTTACCAACATTTGGTGCTTGTTGGCCAGCGTAGAAGGTACAGTTCTTCTAAGTCGCTGCACTTGGTCCCCTAAGCGCAGTCTATCCACACAAGCACGACTGATGAAGTTCCGTGTAGAGCCTATGTCTGCGAAGGCGCCAACTTTGCGGCCACCTATATCAACCTCTACCATGAAATGTTCACCCTTTGGACCTCTACTGATCATTGCCCAAGAGTCCCTGGGGTCCTTCCCTGACCACTCAGTCTCTAACTCTTCTAGGGCCTCAGAAACATCTCTCGAACAGAGCATCGGTGGGTCTGTATGTGTCTGCGGGGCGATACGTGGGTCACTAGCCTTGGCCAACGCCCGAAGTGGGGAAGGCAGCGTTACCACTTCAGCACGAGTAAGAGCGGCTAAGACTCCTACTGGCCCGAGGTGTTTCCCTGTGAAGTGTTCGCAGAAGCACCGCCAGAGTTCGAAGATAGTCCCACCACCGTTGGTGAGGCTACCCTCGTCAGGACCTTTTTGCCTCGGCACGTTCGGGACGTGTGGCCATAATTGCCACAGTTCATGCAGGTGCCCCTAGCGACTCGGTCCCTCCACACCTCATACTCTGAACCAAGTTTTACCCATGCGGGTGTTCCTTGGTCACCCTGACCCGTGGACCGTACTACCTTCTTTTTCCTGGTCCCCCTAGCCTTTTCCTTGATAGGTGCCACGACTCCCCCATCCGAAGTTTCACTGGCCCCATCATGCTCTGTCTCCTCCCCAAGGTCTGGGAAGTCGTCAATTTCTGTCGTCTGACCATCGTGGTTGACGAACATTAGTTGACCTTTCTTCTTCCAGTCCTGGGGTAGTCTCTTCTTCCTACCATCGCCCTGACTCTGATGCGCAGATCCCAACTTTGCCTCTATGTCTAAGGCCTTCTTGCTGAATGAAGCGAAGTTGTGCTGATCGACATAAGCCTCGTCTACCAGCTTTGTCCTTACCTATGAGGGTAGACATCTAAGGTAATCCGTGAGGAGTACCTGCTGGTCATAGCGCACGCAAGGTACCATGAGCAGACGTTCTACGGTGTCCGTTACCTCACGAACATTCTTGTACCTTCTGGCACAGAGACTGTTGATTGCATCGGTAGCCTTTTGAGCCCCTTGAGGGTCATGCCACCTGTTGTACACGGACCGTACGAACTCTTCCAATGTCTGGGCCTGGGCCCAGGCATCGAAGTTCTGACCGTAGCCCTGCTGCTGCACTAGGCCATTCAACCAACGGGCTACTGACCCCTCTAAAAAGGAGGCAACCACAACAACTTCTTGCTCTGGCCTGGTAAGCTTGTGCCTTACATAGGTAGGCACCGTCCTTACCCAAGTATCCAAATCCTCGTCCTTCTTCCTGTCGTCGGAGAAGGGCTTAGGACTCAGCAAGGGTATTTTGGGCATCCACTGCATAGGGTGCATTGGCCCAAGTGCTTGCTGCAGTGGCTGCATAGCCACTGAAACAGGTTGCTGCGCACTAACCTGGGCCTGACTTGACAGTGGGACTGTAGTAACCACTGTCGTCGATGGTACGACTGAGACTCTATGAACCGGACCACTAGTTGCTACAAAACCACCTGGAGGGGGCATGCCAAACATAGGTGAGAATGGAGGCCCTACTGGCGGCAGCGTCACTGATGGACCCACACCCGAAGGGGGAGCTACAGCAAACTGAGGGTGCCTCATCAATGGATGAGGAGCCTGCAATGCAGCCAGAATTCGTTTCTGGTCTGGCACTAGTTCAGCCAACACCTCCTGCTGAACTACCTGCGTCTCTGCCACACATAGGAGCGAGTTGCGTAGTGCTCGTATCGCAGGGTCAAGTGTTGACTCATCTAGTGCTTCTAATCTGCTTAACTCCTGCAATCTACTGCCTAGTTTCTCATGATTGTTTTTCTTCTCCTCTCTGCTGCCTCATCCAATTGCCGTTGTAGCTCATCCTGAAGTTCTTCTGCTTGGAGGATTTCATAATCCTCCGGCGTGAGTTGAGTCTGCTGGCTGACTCGCAAGCCAACACTCTGGCTAATGGACCTTGAGAACCACTCTGACTGACTCCTGACGAAGTGGCCTGTGAAGAGGCCTGCGACATGGTAGATGAAGTAGCCATGGTCGTACCGGTGCTAGCTGAAATCCTAGACCTGGCACTATCCTCAGCTACCCTCGCTCTCCTTGCCGCTTCTCTCTCTCTAGCCTCTCTCTGCAATCTCCTCTCGTCTCCTGGACCTAGCTCTAGGAAAGTCAAGGGTTGACTACGAGCAGTTCCACGAGAAGTCCTACGGTCGTCCACTAACAACTCCTCCTCACTAGTGCTTGCATCACTCATGAGCTACAGTGTGTGTGATCTAAACTAGAATCCACATTGAATCCTACCTTAGCCTGACACACAACCGATAACAAATCACAACTAATTTCGGTCGGCCTGAACAGAAACAGTTAGGTGATGTGGTAACAACTAATGTCAGATCCTACAGGAAATATCACATCTATTTTTAGATTACCCTAGAACAAATTGCAATGCAGCAAAGAACTAATCTGTCTGCAATTGTTTGTCAGTTGTTAGTCAAGTCTGTATCAACTAGATAATCAAAAATAAAAATAATATCTCCTATTGGAGATGCATACTGGATGGCAGATTGTCTAATGATTGCCACTGTGAACAGTTACCGGAATCCCCCCTCCCCCTGTATCCTTGTTGAGTTGTCACTTTGTGTCAACGTCCTGAGCATCTGGTTGAGCAGCGTGTCTGAAGGTGTGGGCCCTTCAGAGGCTTCGCCCGTCTCCCACCAGCTTGCTGCCCAGGAAGAATGTTGACTCTCAAGGTTGAGCGCTCGCGACACCTCACATCGAGAGGACTCTCAAGACAAGACTCACTTCCTCACGGTAAGAAGTAATGAAGCGGGTAGATAAGGAAGAGAGCAACGTACCTCATAATGCTGCCCCCAACCACAGATTTCTCACCAGCAACCTGATGTGCATTTATGATGACCGGTCTTTGCCTCGGCACAACCAACAACAAAATGCAGTTCCACCTCGGCTTCATATGTCACATCAGCGAGCTCTCGTCATCCAGCATACACCCCGTATGTCACCACATAGCTTCCTGGCGCGCCCACACGACCCTGGGCGGCCTTATGTTCAACGCCCAAGCCTTATCACTGCCCCACATCTCATGCGAAGCACCGAACAGCTATTGCGAAGAACCAATGAAGCGCAATATGACCCAGCTCCGATACCAAATTGCAAGGAAAATGAGCAACAGCGAGATGACAAATCCAGTTTACACAATCACATTTAAAGCCAGATAGTTACACTGTGTCCAGAGAGCAGCATTGCACCAATAATACACCAATGGAGGCTCGTAGTACTGAAAACCAATGCCACGGAGAGCTTTCTCTCTCCACACCAACACAAGAGTCTAGTCCCTTCACTCTCCTACTTGGCGCTCAGCGCCCAGCCAACTCCTACACAGCTATTATCAGCCTACTAATTGACCATGCAACTGTTGACATCAGCGGCAACCCGAAGTACTTGAAGTTGTCGCTCAATGCAGACCATCGCCAATACAAGGTATGTGCCCTCACATCATCATCATCATCATCATCCTTCACCCTTCCCTGGCTTTACACCCACGTCTTCCTCCCTTACACCCGAAGACCACTGATGCGCCTCACTGTAGTCCAAGCCCACCAGCTATGGTGGCTGGGCTATGGCGCTGCCCTCAGCAGCGCCCTTCTTCCCTGCACGACCGCACGTGCTGCACCTCGCCGCTCAGCGCCAGCAGCAGCCCACAAGCCTTTGCTTCAGCAGCACTGCCGCTAGCATGCGAGTGCCTGAATGAGGCTCAAAGTGGCGAGCTCTTTCCTATATGGAAAGAGCCTGCCTGCTTCGCAGCCTGGCTGGACTTGGCCTGGGCCCAGAAGCTTCCGGGAGGCCCCAGGATGCTGCGTGCTGCTTTGCATCTACTGGGCCTCTTTCGGTTGGGCCTCCCGACTGTCAGTGTATGAGGCTGCGTTTCTCGCCCACGGCCTGCATGCTGCAGAAAGGCCCAGAAGGCCGTGGAAATGTCTCGGTTGCTCGGCCTGTTGTTTCACTCAACCAACTGGCACGTCGCAACTGCCTGGACCCCAAATATGAAATTGACAGTCAAAGGCCTCTTGTGATAAATTAGGCCCGCCTTCACTTAGGGCGGGCACCACTGCAACCGGGGCCCCTTAGGCCTGTCGAGGACCCAAATCCTCGCACATGCAGCTGCCATATTCACTCCTGCCAGTTAACCCGGTTCTGTTAAGAGGCTCACCCTACTGGACTTAAAAGGCTCACTAAGCCCTTCCTTGCCATGGTTTGGATGATCAGGCACACACAAAATCTGAAAATCAGTCACTGGGAGGAAGAGGCATGGATGTACTGATGGTTTAAGCAACATATAAGAAGCACCAAACATTTCGTTAAACTACCCCTACCTGAGAAGGGCTGATGTATTCCAGAGCTCCGAGAACAGAGTTAAAGCGCCAGTACATGGCTACCTGGGCCGCAGGACTGACACCTTGAATTCCGGGGGTGCAAAAAGAAAAAGCGACCGCTGATCCAATATATCAATGGCAGGCCCAGCGTTTGATTTCGGCCTTGTTTTCTTGTGGCGACAAGTTTTGGACTGCAAGGCTGGGGCCGTGTACTGGCGGTTTAAGGAATAGTTCCAGAGGGATATTGGGATCAAAGCAGGCCAACATGAGTTACAAACAGTGAAGACCCGAAATAATGACAAAAATATTTAGTATCGACCAGGGTTGCACCCCAGCCGACCGCCAACACCGACCGCCGACGGTATTGCAGCCGACCGGTAGGGCCAACCGGTCGGCGGTCCGCCGACCAGTCAGAAAACAGTCATCCGCTGATGTTTTTTCAAATCTGAGTTCTGCGCTTGCTGAGTACAGCCCAAATCCGCTGAGAAACTTTGGTTTCTGTGATTTTTTCTTTCTGGAGGGGGGTGGGGGCGGGGGGGGTCTGTAGGGGAGCGGGGGTCTGTGTGGGGGGCGGGTGGAGGTCCTGGGGGTGCCTGTTTCATGTTTGTGAGGGGCTGTTTGAGGGCTCAGAGGGGGTTGATGCGTTGGTGTTTTGGGGCAGGGCCGCAGGGGTGTTAAGGGGTTCTGTTTGGGGATGACCGGCGACATTCATACAGGCTCATACAGGCTCATACAGGCTCATACAGCCTTGTACACAATTCAATCAATAACAGCCGGGAATCACAGTGACACAGACGGGAAAAAGAAGAAGAAGACACGAGTCTGCAATAAATCGCAGTTTCCCAGTGGGGCTGTACAATTGTTTGGCTTTGTAGTTTGTTTTCTTGTTTTGAGCCTTGCGGGACTTGATCCCATGACCTGTAATTTGGATGTGTTTTGTTTGTCGGTTTTGAGTCCGATGGGACTTGATCCCTGAGTCTGTGTTACATGCACAGATATGCGAAGTACGTAATAACCAAGGAACTGCAATGTGATGAAAAGGACTGATTGGACAATACAGTGCGAGTAGAATCTCGACAGACAATGTACATTCTCATACATACAAAAGGTGCTGAATAGCGCAGGGAAGACTTTGATACAAAGACTGACCTGACAGGACTGACCTCATTCACGTAGTTCAGAGTAACGAAGCAGACTGCTAGAGTACTACTAACTAGTCCAATCAATGTTTGAACTCAGACTAAACATGCACGGTATCCATCACCACGTGTGAAGGAGCCTGGCGCTGTACACAGGAAGAAAGCGCCAGGGCCAGACATACACAGACGAAGAGATAAGGATCAGACGAAAGGAGGGAGAAGGATGGGAATGTCGTTAACACCAAGTCTTGGTCACCAATCCCAAATAGTCCCTCGTTGCCATGTCTGAACCCCCAAAAGTCGAGTCTGGATCAAATGTCACCAAGCTCTATATCTCTTCTCTCATAGTCTGCAGATGCAGTGAAGTCAGAAGTTGAGAGGGAGAGAAGAGATGGTGGACTGAGAAGAG